GGTGGTAGGTACATATTGATGCTGAAATGACTGAGCTTGAGCTCAGCCATTTATAAACACAGGAGACATGTAGATAAACAGCTCTTATGTACACAAAAGTAGACACATCTTGGTTTTGCTCTTTTTTTTTCTTGGTAAAATCATTTCTGGTTATTCACCAACCAAGTCAAACATCTTGATGGTGTGTCAGTTTTGAGATAGCCATGAAATGGAAAATATGGATTCTGTTTGGAATGTCTACAGTCATAAGTGATTTTTCATTTTAATTCATGTATTACAGTTGGATTAGCCAGTTATTAAACTCTTCAAAATACATCCACTTGGTAGATAAAAGCTGTATTTTAAAACATGCATAAAATAAATAATAGATACACTTTTTCAAAATAAATTTTATTAAACTAAAAATGTGTTTTGCCATTTTTCCTGTGTAGTCCTGCCAGAGTTGGTCCACGCAATAATTCTTTGTACTCTGCTTCTGTAGGGAGGATGTTCCCATACTAAAGAGATGATGGGAATGCAAAAGAGAGTCACTATGAAGTTAAGTTTGAGAAGAAGTCTGCGCTTAATCAGAAGGGAACACTGCCCATTCACGCTGTCATAAATACAGGGGCATGACGGTGTGGTGGGGCAGGAAGTCTAAATACTTCTGAAAAACTCGTCTTCTGCTCCACCTCTAACATCATTGACCTGGTTTTGGCTTAATTTGAGGAGCTACTGGGAGAATTAAATATATTGCATACAAGAGGCAGGCACACAGCTGGGACTCCATAGTTGATAAGAGTAAGTGCTCACTGCTTCTGAGACCTCTCTCTGGCTCAGATGGCCATGAAGGGAGAATTAAACAGACTAACCAAAATGCACCAAGAGGGAGAACTGACACCCTAAATGGATCAGTTCCTTGGTTATTATGATAGATTTGAAACTGGAAAGAATCTAAATCGAATCCTATGTCTTCATTCCAAGAACTGAGTCTAGGAGTTGGAGAACTCAGAGAGGGCCTTTGTATAGAAATTCGAGAAAACTGAAGCTAGTGTTGGGATCAAAGTTTCTTCCTGGGCCACCTTGCCCCATGCCCGTGGAACTGATTCATCTTGGGTAGGCGTTACTGACTTCTCATGTGGCACCATAAGCCATGCCCAAGCTGGCATGTGGGGCAAATGCCGTTCCTTTTTTGGCTCATGTGTTGGCTGTGTCTTAGCCGGGGCTCCAGGGAGTGGAAGTTCTGTCTGAGGCGGCTCTGAAGTTGCTGGTGCAGATGTTCAGAGGCGTCAGTGAGTAGCAATCAAGTAGCTTTCTTATTTACCTCTAGTTCCTGGCTGCAGTCCAGCTCCCAACTGTTGCCAGTTGTGTTAAAACACTTGGAGGGATGTGGCATTCCTTCTGCCAGCGATTTCATTTATTCATTTTTCTTCCTTAGAAATAAATGTCTGAGACTGAAGCCATTTCAAAAGAGGAAGTAGGCTAGGCATGTGTGTGTGTGTGTGTGTGTGTGTGTGTGTGTGATGTCCTGTTTAAAAAAAACAAAAAACAAAACAAGCTAATCATTACCAAAAGAGAGGATCCTAAACAGATTTTTGTAAGGAGAGCATGTAGTGACATCTGTTTACCTCCCCAAAGCCCATTCCTCTTTCTTCCTTGCATACAGATTGTTGCCTTTATCTACTAATTTACTTTTCTCTATAATGCAGGACATGTATAATAATATTTAAAAGGAAAAGAAAACAGCACAGCACTTCAACCGCCTAGGAGAAGAAGAGGAAAAAAAATGATACAGAATCCCCCTCAAAGATATAATGACATTTAGGGCTGTAGTTGGCAAAATAACATCCCCAAAGACATCCCTGGAATCTATGGATGTGTTACTTTACATGGCAAAAGGGAATTAAAGCCGCCAGTGGAAGTAAAATTGCTTATCAGTTTTGGAAGAGGGGCAGAGGACTCAGAGTGATGTGAGACCAGGCTCACCCCTCCACTGCTGTTTCTGCATGTGCTGGGGGGCCACAAGCCAAGGAGTGCAGGTGGCCTCTGAGACGGGAAAAGGTGCTTCCCTTTGCCTCCAGGAGGGAAGGCAGCCCTATTGACACGGCAATATTAGCCCAGTGAGACCCGACTTAGACTTTTAACAGAACTGCAGGATTATATGTGCTGTTTTAAGCCAGTGAGTCTGCAGTGTGTCCTCAAGGCAGGGCTTTCTTTCTTTCGTTATACAGGCATCCTTGTCGATTATCCATTTTACACATAGCACTGTGTACAGGCAACCGTAAGTTCATTCTCTAAGTCTGTCTGTTTCTTTTGCTCTTTGTAAAAATTTGTTTCTATTGTGGTAAAAGTCACACAGTATAAAACATTACTATATTAACCATGGGATTGCCTGGTGGCTCAGACGGTAAAGAGTCTGCCTGCAGTGTGGGAGACCTGGGTTCGATCCTTGGGTCGGGTAGATCCTCTGGAGAAGGAAATGGCAACCCACTCCAGTATTCTGGCTTCGCGAATCCAATGGACAGAGGAGGCTGCAGGATACAGTCCATGGGGTCACAAAGAGTTGGACACGACTGAACGACTTCACTTTCTTTCATTTTAGCCATATTTCACGGTACAGTTCAGTGGCAAAACAGTCACATTGTTGTAAAACTCTCAGCATCATCCTTCTTGGGAATTTTTCACTTACCTGAACTGAAACTCTGTCCCCGATAAACACTGAGTCCCTGGCCCCCTTCCCCACCTTACAACCCCAGGGCCCTGGCACCTACCAGTGTATCTTCTTGACTGTTCTAGGTACCTTGAATAAGTGTCATCAAACAGTATTTGTCTGCACCTAATGTACACGGGAATGCACTTTTCGGGCTAACGTAATATATCCCACAGACACATCTTTCCTTCTTCCTTTTTCCCGTGCTGTGCGCTAGGTTCTCCTTAGATGCCTGTTTTACACGGAGCAGTGCGTGTGCGTCAATCCCAACCTCCCAGTTTCATCCCCTTTCCCACTGGTGTCTACACGCTTGTCCTCTATGTCCGTGTCTCTGTTTCTGCGCCGGGAGTAGATGCATCTCAGGCGGGCTCTCTCTCCCTCGCCGAGGGCAGCTCGCTGCCGCCTCCCCCAGCGATGCCTGGCTGCTTCCCCCACACGCAGCCCTGTCTCCATACTGCAGCCCCTGCTTCCTCACTGAACCTGGAAATGCTTTCTCCAGCTCTTTACTTTGGCTTTCTCTCACCTGTTCTTTTATCTACCTCATGCACTGAAAATGTAAAATTACATGCTATTATTTTCTTGTTGTCTGTCTATCTTCACTGCTAGACCGAGCAATTCATGAGGCCAGGAACCGTATGTCCTTTGTGTTCTGATGTACCCCTGGGGCCAGCACAGTGTTGGGTACAGAGCTATGCACAGTAAGTATCTGTCAATTTTTAAGAAATCAATATATTTACATTAATTCTCTTTCTGAGTTACTGCTTTTATATTTATCAATCTGCGGCTTTGTACTTAATAATTGTAATGTGAAAAATAGCATTATCTAACATTTAACATGTATAATATTTAGAACACTCCTGATTCTGATTTTTAAAATTGTCTTTGCTCTTCTTGACAGGTGTGCTTTTTCATACTGTCTTGATAATCATTCTGTGATATTCTCCAAAACTTACATTAAGATTTTGATTGGTATTAAAGTTAATGTCGAAATTAATTTTTAGAAGAATATTTATCCTTCCAGTATGCTGCCTTCTCATTAAGTGTTGCAATGTGGGTCTGTTTTTATTTAAATATTCTTTAATCCCTCAGGAAAGTTTTATATTTTTTAAGTGAAATTTCCTAATTCCTAATTTATTTTTTTGTTACGCTTGTCCAGAGGTATTTTATTTTGTAAGTTGCTATTATAAATTATTTTACTCTTACATGTTCTAATTGTTGATTGCTGATATTCTAAGGGTTTATTCTTAATAAATTCAATAGGATTGTTGGGAGGATTAATGACTACATAAAATGGTTGGCACAGTATATTTTATAGATTGTAAGCTCTCAAATATTTTTCTTCTTCTCCTTATTCTCTTTCTCCTCATCCTTGTTATCACATATTATCAATTTCTATATGTGTAAAGGTGTTTCTGCTGGGCTTCCCTGGGGGCTCAGTCAGTAAAGAATCTGAGTTTGATCCTTGGGCTGGGAAGATTTCCCTGGAGAAGGGAAGGGCAACACACTCCAGTATTCTTGCCTGGAAAATCCTATGGACAGAGAAGCTTGGTGGGCTACAGTCCATAGGGCTGCAAAGACTCAGACATGACTGAGAGACTAAACCACCACCACCAAACACCTTTTTGCTACCTGGTTTCCAATAGTTATAGTTCTTAGTTTCACACATTGTTACATTAGTTAGAAACTATAAAAAATTTTTAAATAATTAATGGCATTCATTAACTCTTATTACCAGGTAATTAGAGGCAAGGCTGGGCATGGTGGCAAAGCCTTACATAAGAAGCTGGGCTTGCAGGCAGGAGTGGGGCTGCCTGGCCTCCTGGGCAGGGCTGGCGTGGACTCTGGGCTGGTCATCGGGGGTGCGGGGGGAGGGTTTAGGGGGTCACAGCCCCTCTTTCCTCCCCATAGGCAGAGCTCGCATCACTGGTGGGAAAGACTGTGTTTGCCACTGATTTTATTCTTTTCTTTGTCCGTTTTGATTCACTTTGGATTTAGTGCAAATTCCTCTGATTATAAGTGATGAACCCAGTTTAAGTGCTGGTTCTAGTTTATTTGTTTTGTGGATGGACTTTTGTTTTCATCCTTAAATGTGTCTTCATTGGTACCTCAGTGGCCTGTTGGAAATGCTACATCGGGGCCACCGAAGTACCATCGGTGTGGACCTGAATCTTAAATCATCCAGAATGCACCCACTTCCTCACAGGATCTGGCAAATCTGTGTCCTGCAGAATCCAAGTAAAACCCAGGAACCAGCTTACAATTCTCTCTTCACTTCACAAACCTGGAACCGTTCTAGAAGCATATACACATCTAAAAATAGGCTTCATTTATTTAGAAAAAAAAAATCAGATGCTATTTTAATGTAAAGGGTTTCCCTTTCCTTCTTGTTTCATAAAAACCAAACACAGTTCATTTTGTAATGTAAATGCTCCTTTTTGTTTTAAGAAATTATGGAGGATGTCTCAAGCTCCTTTTATAGCATCGAAGCAACATTGCACCAGACACACTGAGGCTCGTAAAGAAGACTTTACTCTTGGCCGTTGTAACAGAGGCCGGGGCCCAGAGCTCAACCTGAGGTCCACGGAAACACGGGCCAGGCGGATTTTAAGACCTGGGGTGGGAGTGGGGTCCTCAGCCACTGTGTTTGTTAACTGGCCTTCCCCAAAGGCAAAGTCAACTTTCTCACAGCTTCAGGACAGAATGTGGTTTTACCTCTTGGACAAACGGAGAGATGGGGAGTCTCTTCCTTGAAGACCCCACTTCCCAGGCGTGGCTCCCAGGTCCTAGAGAAAGACAGTCCTAGGTGGTAAAACCAGCAAGAAGCTTTTCAAAAAAAATGCATATCTCAAAGGGGCAATGGCAATGCCAAGTTTTCCTAGAGTAGATGCTCTCAGAGAAGAGAGGGCAGGGCCGGATGAGAGAAGCCTGTCCAAAGTCTAGTTGAGGCAAGGGGCCACCAAGCCCTGTTGGCCACTAGAAGTCATCAAGTCAAAGAGTGACAGAGGACAGCAGGTTTCCACACTCAGGGGTGTGTGTGTGTGTGTGTGTGTGTGTGTGTGTGCATGCGGGGGTGTGTGTGTGTGTGTAAGATGGACCTTGCCCCACCCTGATCCTGTCTCTGCCCAAGGCTATTCTCTCCCTGCCGACAGCTTCTCCTTCACTCGTCTTTCTGCCTCCTCTCCGTGGGAAGCGTCCCCCAGACCTCCCCTGTCCCCCTGGCTCACTCTGCTCTGCGCTGGTCTTGTCGTGACTACATTTCCTTTTCCTTCTATTCATGCTCTATAACTCATTCAGGAGCTCACTGAACACTAAAAAAAGAACAACGGGATAAGTACCAACGTTTGCCACGCATGCTTCTAGACCGGGCAATGCAGGGATGAAATCCACACAGTCCTTGGTCTCGAGAGGTTTAGAGTGCGAGTGGGGCAGCCACTAAACCGAGACTCGGAGCCTGAGAAGCTGCCGGAGAAAAGAAGAGCGTGCAGGAGAGGACAGCCGAGGCCCCGGTTTAGGCTGGCGGCGGGCGGGAAGGCGCGCGGATGCGCCGGGGCGGGGGCGGAGCCAGCAGTGTGTGCGGATGCTCCGATGGTCCGTGGACAGGCCGCCAGCGTGGATGGAGCTTAGAGATCAGGAGGAGGGGAGGGCAGATGAGGCCGACAGGGTCAAGGAACTGCGCTGGGATTGAGGTTTGACCCCAAGGGAAAGTCACAGGCGCAAATGAGGGCTGAAGGGGGGCCTGCTATGACGTCACACATGGCGGAATGAAAGAGGGGCGTGTCTGTTCCCCACTGCCTCCCCCGCACTTGCGGGTTAAGCCATATGTCAAGGGAGATTAATTTTATGTTTTCCTGGAAGGCCCAGTTCTTTAGACAGACCTCCTGGGTCCGTGCTGTGGTCGGCGTTGGGGAAACTCCCAGGGATGGAGACTTCTCCCAGCTCAGTGACGCGGCTCTTTGCCTGGACCTCGGCCGGAATCCGTATTCGCATTTACTGGGCCTGGGAGTTCAGATATTAGTACTTCCACCATTCTCATGTGCCTGCTAACGTCGCTTCAATCGTGTCCAGGCTCTCTGTGACCCTGGGAACGGTAGCCTGCCAATCTACTGTCCACAGGGTTCTCCAGGCAAGAATACTGGAGTAGGTTGCCATGCCCTCCTCCAGGAGATCCTCCCGATCCAGGGGTTAAATCTGCTGTCTCTCAGGTCTCCTGCGTTGGCAGGCGGGTTCTTAACCACTAAGGCCATCAGGGGAGCCTCTCCATCATTCTTAGGTGTGATAAATGTGGGAGCCCCTTCTTTGGACTCTAGGCACTCAAGAAAGTTTCTTTGTTTGGAAGCTTAAAACCTGGTCTTCATGAGTTTAATTAATAACATTGTATTAGATGCAATGATCTTTTTAGATAAGATAACATTCCAACATTTGCATAAGGATTGGACTGCTAACCCTAGAACCCCCAGACATTGCTTATGCTAGCCCCCAGATTTATTGTGCTGAAAGTAGCTTGGAAGTTTCCAGAATGTTCTCCTCCAGCTCTTTCATTTACCAGCACAAAGGTCCACCCCTAGAATGAGTAGGCGCTTCCCACACTCTGTAATCTGGCAGGTTTGTGGCTGCAATCTTCTTGACCTGTCACCACCAGCTCAGGAGTGAGTGTGCTGTTTGTGGAGGAGACAGGATTTGGCTTCATGAATTCCACTTCATGCGATGCCTTTGCTAGGAGATGGAAATAATTGCTCTTCCCTCATGCTTCTCTCTTGTTTTCCTGCTGCTGCTTCACACAGTCTATTGATGAAAAGAAACTTGTCAGGAAAATCAGACTCTAAACCCTTTAATGGCAAAGGAACACATTACAGAGAAGTAGCTGTAAATTCTGCAAGTTAAGCAAGTGCCTGCTCTGTTTGTACGTAGAGACAGACAGAAGGACAAACCAAATGCTGACCAGATGAGACATCCTGGGACACCAGATGCTCCAAGCGCTAAAGACGTTCATCTAGTGTTTCTGCAGCTCTTAACACAGGGGCGGAATTCTGTTCATTTTCACCAGTGAATTAAAGGGCAACGGGACACTGAGTAGATTTTCCTTGGTGGAAAACTGGGGTTCCATGCTGTTCTCCCAGTAATAAGTTGAAGTGGGCATGCGCCAGCTCCTAATTTAAGACACTTTTCTGTTTATTTGCTTGTTTTTAGGAAACATTTAATTTAGAAAGTGAAAAGTGAAGTTGCTCAGTTGTGTCCGACTCTTTGTGACCCCATGACTGCAGCCTACCAGGTTCCTCCATCCATGGGATTTTCCAGGCAAGAGTAATGGAGTGGGTTGCCATTTCCTTCTCCAGGAGATCTTCCCGACCCAGGGATTGAACATGGGTCTTCCACACTGTAGGCAGATGCTTTACCGTCTGAACCACCAGGAAAGTCCTTTAATTCAGAGCAACCTGATACAATTTAGCCTCCTTTATGCTACACACTATGTGAATTGTTGAGAAATGTTGCTGAATGGGCACTGACCCAACCGTGAAGAAACAGAAGGTTCGATGGTTGTAATAAGCAAGATATAGCAAGATATAAGCACCATGAATATAAGCAAATATGAAGGATTTTCTTCTTCTGAGGTCACAACCTTTGACCTGTGCTTCTAAGGTTGTGCATCACTGCAGGCTAACCTGAGGAAGTAGGTGTTGTGTGGTGTGGCAGCTGGTGGCCCATTTCGAAGTAAAGTGTAGTCACTGGGACTTTTGCCATCAGATCAAAGTGCCTGTTCAGAGATACCCTTCTTCTTATCCAGGTCACTGATCTCAAACTCTGCCTCTGCTGGGCTTCTATAGAGAAAGCATCAGGTGGGCAGGGGAAGGACAGTCAGGGGGTGCTTTTACCCTCGGTCCTTTCTCCATCAGAGTAACTCCCATCAAAGTAAAGGGCTTTCTGGTCCACAAAAAAAGATTCTGAAAAAGGCTCACATAAACTATCATTTAAAGAAAGGATTCCACTGCTAAGAAAACCACTGATTTAGGGAAACTCAGTACTTTCTTAACTGGGACAAAATGAATAAAAAGACTTTCTCTGTGGTCTGGTTATCAAGTCTTCAGATACGGAATAGGAGAGGGACTGGTTAATCAGAGTCTATACTGACACATGGAGGAAGAATTCTGTAACTAAGGGTTTAGAACAGCAGTTGCAATTCTCTACGACTGTCACAATCTCAGAAAGTGCAGTCAAGCTAATCTGGTCTTGAGACTCATTGCTAGTCTTATATTTCTGGCAGAAGAGTTGGGGTGTAGATGAAGACTGAAGTGGTAAATATGTGTTTTGACTTTTCCTAGAGGTGTATTTAGCTTTTGGCATCTTGCTTTGGTTCTGCAGCTCTGTTTCATCACCGAACGTTTAAATCAGGGCTATATGTCTCTGAGCAGATGTGACAAATCTGACCAGACATTATTGATAGAACTGAAAGGAAGCCTGACCGCAGACATCAGCTCTAGGTCTTCAGGGTTGTACAGGAGAAGCCGAGAGCCAGGGTCGGTGCAGGTCTGACCACCAAGGGCAGCATGTCAGCCTGGTAAGTCCTGCAGGGTTTGGACCTGATTCAGCCACTTTCTGTGGCTTGAATGCAGGAGAGGATAAGACAGGCTATGGGTTGGTCTTATCTTGAGTCACTTATAATAATAACTTTTTCATGTTAACCGAAGACACTTGCAATTCTATATACTTCTCTGTGCATTTACACCCTATACATCCAAGAAGCCATGGCCAATGTGGTGAAAGTTCGTAGCAGCCTCTCTGCCTTTGTTCCTGTTTTCTTCACAGTGTAAAATAATTTTTGGGGTTTTTGATATACAGAAAGCTCAAGCATTTCACCACTGAGTGAAAAACCTCCATGTAACAACTTCCCGTTAATCCCTGCTAGGCTTCCTCCAGCTTTGCATTTAACCATTTATTTTCCTTTCTGCGAGAAGATGGAAACATTCCTGCATCCTCTTTGGTTTCAGCAGATTTGCTCACAGTTATTTGTGGTCAGGGATTATTGCTGTTATCCAAAATATTGCTCTGCTATTTGAAGATACTGGGAAGAGGATTTTAAAGTCAAGGGATGAAACCACTAATGGTATATAAAATGAACTGGGGCGTTCCGATGGGTAGTGGGCTCAAATACAGTGTTTGTGATCAGGATTGGAAAAGCTTTTGGGTTGAAAAACACATAGCCTCAAGCAACACAGCATAAGATTCTTGCTCTACTCTAGTAAGTGAAAGTGTTAGCTGCTCAGTCGTGTCTGGCTCTTTGTGACCCTATGGACTGTAGCTCAGGCTCCTCTGCCCATGGAGTTTTCCAGGCAAGAAGACTGGAGTCATTTCCTTCTCCAGGTATTGAACCCAGATCTGCCACATTGCAGGTGGATTTTTTACAGCCTGAGCCACTATGGAAGCATCACTCTAGTGAGAGGCGCAACTCTAAAAAAAGTGGGCTTTTCTAGAGCCGTAGTGAACAGACTCAGGACATGGGGCAAGAGAAGGTGGGACAAACTGGGAGAGTAGCCTAGAAACATGCACACTGCCATATGTAAAATACACAGCCAGTGGGAATTGGCCGAATGACACCGGGAGCTCAAACCCTGTGCTCTGTGACAACCTAGAGGGGTGGGTTGGGGTGGGAGATGGGAGGGAGGTTTAAGAGTATACCTATGGCTGATTCATGTTGATGTGTGGCAGAAACCAGCACAACATTGTAAAGCAATTATCTTCCAATTAAAAAGAAAAAAAAAAATTGGGCTCATCTAAGTGCTCCTACAGAAGAGGAATTGGGCCCACACTTCCCTTAAGGAGGAGTGGCAAATGACAGTAATGGGTTTGTTTGGTGATGACTGCTGAACGTGGCCTGGAAATTGCTGGTAGTTTCACAAACACAGCACGATATCAGGCTCTTCAGGGTGGAAACATGGACTTTGAAACTTGCTTGGATTTCTATCTCTGTCATTTTTCAGCTGATTTATTCAGGTAGCTCCTTTGTAGCATCCTTGGAACTCTACTTGGCCCTGGAGTTGCATAACCACATAAGTGTGTGATTTAATAAAGTCCTGGGAAGTGCTGGCCGGATGAAAAATCAGAGCCTTTTATTGAACTGAGGATGTTCTTTTGTAGACTGTCCCTCTCTTCTTCCTGGTTTTGTTCAGTTCAGTTCAGTCGCTCAGCTGTGTCTGACTCTTTGTGACCCTTTGCAGGACGCCAGGCTTCCGTGTCCATCACCAATTCCCAGGGCTTACTCAAACTCATGTCCATCAAGTTGATGATGCCATTCAACCATCTCATCCTCTTTCGTCCCCTTCTCTTCCTGCCTTCGATCTTTCCCAGCAAAAGGGTCTTGTCCAATGTGTCAGTTCTTCGCATCAGGTGGCCAAAGTACTGGAGTTTCAGCTAAAGATGATGCTGTGAAAGTGGTGCACTCAATATGCCAGCAAATTTGGAAAACTCAGGAGTGGCCACAGGACTGACCGGAAAAGGTCAGTTTTCATTCCAATCCCAAAGAAAGGCAATGCCAAAGAGTGTTCAAACTACTGCACAATTACACTCATCTCACATGCTAGCAAAGTAATGCTCAAAATTCTCCAAGCCAGGCTTCAACAGTACGTGAACCGTGAACTTCCAGATGTTCAAGCTGTATTTAGAAAAGGTGGAGGAACCAGAGATCAAATTGCCAACATCCATTGGACCATCGCTGGTTTTGCTA